TTTAGAGAGAGAGAAAGGGAGAGGGGGAGAGACAGAAACATTGATTGGCTGCCCCTTGCTGCACATCCCCTAACGGGAATTGAGCCTGAAACCTGGGCACATGCCCTGACCAGGAATTGAACCAGTGACCTATGGTGCATGGGACGATGCTCAGTCCATTGAGTCACATAGGCCCAGCTGCAGTTGTCTTTTAAAAGATAGCAACTTGACTTTGAAGTTGACATTTAAAAAAAAAAAGTGTCTTTATTGATTTCAGAGAGAGGAGGAGAGAGAGAGAAACATCAACGATGAGAGTCATTGATTAGCTGCCTGCTGTACACCCCCAGTCTAGCCCACAACCTGAGCATGTGCCCTGACCAGGAATTGAACCTCGATCTTCTGGATCATATATAGGTTGATGCTCAACCGCTGAGCCATGCCAGCCAGGCTGAAGTTGACTTTCTTATAATTGATAAATATTTTTATGATTGCTTATTATCACTTATTCTGTAGTTGATTAACTACTTGTAAAAGTATATTGTGCATTATTTCTTTTACTTCATTTTATAAACTGGTGGAACATGAAGACACTGGGTTAGCTCTCTCTTTCTTGTCTGTCTTTTAACAAACACTTGACATTTAAACCTAGTGAAGTAATTTGAATCCTAATATTTTTGGAGAGTATGTTTTCTAAAAGGATGAAAGGAAAATATATTGATAAATCTTAGAATTTGGTTAGATGTTGAGTTCTTAAAACATTTATAATAGGGTTTTTTATTCTCATTACAACTTTCTCCTCTTTTAGGAAATTGCTTTCCATGATTGTGTATCCTCATAATGCTATGCATTCTTTAAAGTTCCAAGCTTTCGTCCCTATTTTGATGTTTTAAAGGTGTATTCCTTTTGACAATATATACAAAATTGTGGTTTAGAAAGAAGAAATCTTTTCCTCCAGAGCCAATACAATAGTTTTGCTAACTATTTCTAAGGGAGTTGGGTTTTGCTTGTTTGCTTTTTGGCAGTGTCACTTTTTAAAATTGAAAATTTGGATTTGGCAATACCTGGTTTGTTTTTTTACTAATTTTAAACCTGGAAAAAGAACATTAGAAAATCTATAATGGGTGCTGTAATTTAGCTAAAATTTGGATCATCTCAGGATAATACCTTTGAAGTTTCAGCTGACCATACTCAAAATTAATCCTAGAGGCTGATTTCCAAAAGAGATCCATGAAAGTAGTATTTTTGATAGTTTTTATTTTCTGTAGGATTAGAAAGTTGAACTCTTTAGTGCCTATTTTAGATATCAGCCACTTGACAAAATTCTTCTTTTTGTTTCTTGATTAGTAGGCTTCATTCATTTTTAAAATATTTACTGAATTTACCTAACTCAGTGTGCCAAGCACTCTTGAAGGGGCTGGAGATACAAAACTCACTCTTTCTGTTAGGATATTCTTTCATTTTCTTTTTAATGTCAGCTGGGCTGTTGGCAGGATTTGTGAGCAATTCTTTTTCTTCGTAGATGTGCTTTAGAACCAGTAAAATGAGTGATAAAAGATGAATAGGAAAAAGATACTACATCATGCTTTCAATTTAGCTTAGAATGTCTTGTTTTATGAGTAATCTGTAAATCTACAAATTAGCAAGTTTAACTTCAGATCAGGTAGTTACAGCACAAGTGAATGGAAATGATAGTCTTCGTAAATATGTGTTACCGTCTATTTCATTGCTTAAAAAATGATTAGGTGTAGCTCTTCCTCTTTCTTCAATATGAGAAATGCTTAAAACTAGCAGTATGTGTTCATTTAATAATTTAGTATTGAGAACAAATATTGCAAATAGTCTAGTTTGTACATTTCAGGAGACTTTCTCAGAATGGTATTTACATATAAAAGACTTAGATTTATTACTTCTGATTTGAATATAACAGGATTTTTAGTTATGTTCATAACTAAAATACTTTAAAAATTTATATTTATGGAAAATGTTAAAATGATTTTATTGATGTACTGGAACACCTGTTTGAGTTCCTTTGTGACATTTCAGCATTTCGTTGGCTTTGGTTTGGAATTTATTCTCTAGTGGAGTCCTGTAGTGGAGTATTTACTCATTTCCTCTTGAGATGCCACATAGAAGAGAATGCTATCTATTAAAATAGAATTAAGTAAGGTCCTACTGTGTCATTCTTATGAGCCTCCATTAAGTCTCACAGAAGCTGCTCTTTCATGTTTGATTAATGATCTCATTTTGAAAGTGCCTTTACATTTTTTTTTATAAATGGTGCAATATCAAACCCACAGTCTTTATACATGGATTCACTCCTAAAGCAAGAGTGATACCAGCTCTACTCAATGATTCAAAATAATTTCTATTTAGGGAAACAAGTTTGTTTATTCATTTTTGAGTATAAATATGTTGAATCCACAAGTTTTGGTAATTGAAGCAAAATAAATTATATCTTGAAAGTAATCTGACTTGGGAAAATTTTATAAGTGGATCCACTTCTCTAGCCAACTCACTTGCCCTGTAACAAGGATATTTGTTTTTTTCAAATCTAAGTTTGTTGTATTTTTAATTTATATATTCTTTGGGGTATGATAAGCATTTGGAGCTCCTATTGAAAGAGAAATTGTAAACTTAGCCCAGTATCAATTTCGAGCAAGATATGATTTCTTGGGGATTGTTTTTATTTTCAAAGTGAAATGGGTCTGTAAATTTAAAAAAAATTAGATGTATTTCTTGTTCAAAGTGGAATGTTCCCTTTTTGTCTGTATTTTCATTCAGTTATGTTGTTACTACTGGTTAGCATTCAAGAAATGAAGGAAAACTGGGAAATTTGGAAAATCATCTTGTTTATAATTTCTGAATATATTTTTAACTGTATCTTAGTTGAAGTTAAGTTTTACTAAGATCTCATTAATCTGGAAATATTTAATATTTTTCCTGGTTTATATTGAAATATTAGACATGAAAAGGATTGATTTGTCAAGGAAATTGATTAGAAAAGACTAGAGGATGATTGCTTAATAATTTTAAAAGCACTTTTGTAGCACTTCTTTGCTCCGTATGGGTACAATGAAAACATAAATAAGATAGCTCTTGTGTATTTATTTTAAGCCTTACTCATCTGTTAAAGAGCCATCCTTTAGGAACTCCAGCTATAGAACACTTTGTTGATTTATTTGGACTCTTGAAAATGCCTAATTAGATTGTATTTCTTGAGATAGCTTAGTATGCAGGTCTTTTTCCAATTTGTACTCCTTTCCTCTTGTCATTCTTCATATACCTCCTCAATGTGATTATACTGTAAAATACTGTTTTAAGCTACTGCTCAAAAAATATAGTCTGTAGTCTCTTCAAAACTGAAAGACTTCAGAACTTAAACTCTATTGGAAACTTAAAATGAAAAAAAAAAAGCTGGCACAAAGCCTCATAAAATATTTTTGTAGTTATTAATCTGATACCTCTTGCAAGATGGCATTTTCACCCTTTGACATCCTTTAGATTTATTTTTTCATTATTTCTTTAATTTTTGGAATTATAGATTTGATGGTTAAATTTATATGTTTTCTTAGTCCAAACTATGTTCATTTCTCACTTGTACAGAATTTAGTATATTCCTAAAGCAGAAGTGTTAGCTCATTCTTTCATCTTTAGGCTTTAAAAAAAATTTAGTCTAAATGTTGTTAGGTAATGGAATAACCATTCCTTTTCAGCTATTCGTATATTTCCAAACTGGCTGGCAGAGCCAGGAGGAAGTTGAAGGCACTAAAAAACATTAACTTTGGTTGGTTGCTACCTTCTTAGTGCTGAGACTATAACCTTTGTTGGGTTGATTGATAGAACAAGAGAGCACAATCCTCGTTCCACTAACAGGTAAGGAACCCTTGTCATAACCAGTTGGTGTGAGAGAGAGATTACTTGATAGTTTTTTCTTAATTTATCCCACAATATAATATGTCCCTGAAATAGGTTAGTGTGACTATGTTCCATACAGCAGGAATATGCAGCACCTATCTATTTAGAATAAGATCTGAAATTTAATAGGGATGTTTCGCTCTGTACCACAAAGCATAGTTTATCTGTTTTCCACTGTTAAAATTTATCCTGCAGTCCCTGTAACTTTAAATACATGTCTGCTTATCTTATTCTCCTTTCAGCTTTTCCTTGATCAGTTGCTATATGCTTTGAACTTCCTTCTCTTATTTACCTTATTCCTATAACAATGCAAACTATTTTTCAGTATCTTTACCATCATCTATTATTTGGGTATATCTTACTGCTTGAATTTCTGCATTGTAGCCATTAATGATTATTTCCTGGTCCTTCTTGACCTCAGACCAAGTGATCATATGTTTTAAAAAATTTTTTTAGTCTGTATTGCCTGTGTCCACTATCCTGCCCTTCCACTTTTAAATATGAGTGCTTGAAGAATAAATCTTTTTCATTGACAGTAGTCATAGCTGGATAAAATTCAGGTTTAGCTTTGTATTGCTATATAATATGGGACTGTAGTCTGATTAATTCTTTAAATTACTGAAGACTTAAAAGCCAAGAACAAATTCAGCTTCTTAAATAACTCCCAAGGTTTATTAGTATTCCTGTTAATATGCTTGATTTTTCTGTTTCTACTTTTCAATCCATCATCTTCTCTTTTATAGAAGAATTAACTGGGGCTCCTCCTTTAATATATCTGAGGTTGAGTGCCTTTCCCTGTCCCTTTAAGACAACTGTGATCTTGTTTCCAGTCATAATTTATCATTTTTCGATTCAGTCTTCACCACTTGAATTTGAGTGGTTTGTCACAGAGTGTGTTATGGCTTAGACCAAGATGGGTCCCTTCTTAATAGTTACTGATTAAATTAATCAGTTATGGGGACAGACTTCTAAAATTCATATTAAGAAGGCACTAAAGAAAGTGCCCAAAGGTAGTTCCTTTTTATCCTGAGGATAAGTCATTACAGACTCAAATGACCAGAGAATGTAATTTCTTAATAAGAATTTTCTCTTAAATCTATATTCAGCTCTCTATTTCAGTGCTTCTCTCCTACCAGAGGTGCAAGGAGTGATCCTAGAACCACAGATACAGCCAAGACCACGGAGAGCTTTTGACGTCAGGGGTCCACTTTCTCCACTGAACCCTTGGAGGCAGAATATCCAGCTTCTGGAGAGAGTGGGAAAGGATAATAAACAAGTGGGTGCTTTCCATTATTTACTTGGGTTTATTTATAGATTGGAGTGTCCTTCCATTGCCCATTTAATTCTATTGGTAAACTCCTTGGGTTCATATTAGAGCTGAGTGGGGCTACAATCTGTTTGTTTTTCTAAGAGTGCTAACCTAGTGCCCATTAAATAAAAAAGAGACCTAAAATTTAATTTTCTCTCCAGATAATTAAAGCAGTGGATAATTTGGGGCACTTGATTTGGTGAATGCCTGTGTAGTCCACAGGACTTTTAAAAAGGGAATATTTGCCCATTTTAGCTTTTAATGGTATTAGTTGACTTCTCAGTACTCTTTTTATTCCAGTGTTTAAGAAGTTTCTCTATGGCATCTTTGGGCAAGTTGGACATCTGAACTCTCTTAACTTACACAGTCTGATGTCCAGATATTATCCTACCCTGTTAGTGAGAAATTTTTGGTCTTTTTCCTACCTCAAACTTAGGACTTCATATTAATTAGATCTTTTAGAAGATGAAATGATAGTACTGTTATAGTTTTACTGTCAAATCTAGGTTCCAATGTTTAATAAGAAACATGAATGAATATAAGTTTCAGGATATAATATCCCTGAAAGCTATGTTAAATATACTCACAAGTAGTTTTCTAGTCCCTAGGAATATTGTTATTTGTGGCAAAAGCCTTGTCCTAGATTTTCCCCATGGCATTAAAATGGTTTTTTCTTAGTTCCTTTGATGCCAAGGGTAGGATTTGATTCCAGGAAATTTCTTATCATCTACATGGGTAGAATGTGAACTTGGTGCCTTTGGCAAGTTTTCATTTTTCCTTGGTGGATTCCTTCTGTGACTCCAGGTATCTTGATAATGGGAGACCGGTTTATTTGTTCTCTAATTGCCCAGATTTCTTTCAACTGGTAAACATCATACTTCTTCAGCAAAAGGAACTCTTCTAGCAGAGCCTTCATGGATGATATCTGTCACACATGCAGCACCTGCAGTTTGGAAGGCAGTGGTGAACGGAGCCATGCAATATATCTAGAAGACACAAGGATGAGAGAGCCACCTGATCTTGTCATTTATAAACTTTAAGATTTACTCTGGTGTACTCTTGGTCTGGAAATGGAAAGGCTCAATTAATGAAATAATTTTTTCAGATTGGAATTTTACATGGCCATGAAAATATTCCTTTCTATTCAGAAGACTGAAATAGAGGAAGCATGAGAGACTTCTTTCTTTTAAAAGCAGCTCTCTGTATCTGTTTTACATAAAAGATTTGTGGGATTGAAAAATCACCTTAAAATCAAGCAGGCAAACATTTTTTTAGTAGTATGAGAGATCCAGAAAACTTAATGAAACTTTTTTGTTGCCTGACACCAAAAGAAACTAGAAATAAATGGTGAACTTAATTACTCTCAAGTTACTTTTAAAATTAGGGCAATACTCTTAGTTTATCTTTCTCTGGTCTTGAGCCGTATTTTCCATTTGTCAAATCAATAACAATTTCAGTATAGAAGTAGAAGAGACATCTTTTGAGATGAAAGTAGCTTGCTCCTTCATCTAAAGTAGTGAATACCTGTTAAACTTGAGGTATCGTTCTGCGCTGAAGGCATAGTAAAGTTTGAATCGTACTGAAACAGAGTCAGTCAGTAGTAGTAGTATGAGGGTTACAAGATAATTATCCAAACTATCAATTAATTGATGGTAATAGTTATCAAAATTTTTCTATTTTTCTTTTTGATATCTATTAACTGGTCAGTCAAAACTTTTATAAAAGAAGTTTTTAAAAGTTATCCGATGCTGCCAGTTTGTTTTATTTGGTATAAATTTTAAGAATGGAAATTGTAGAATTATTAATATGGAAGTCTTTAAAATATTTTAGGAATCTAGAAACATTTGCTAAGTTATAAGCTGGCCTTGAGTCTTTCTTGGCTATCTATTAGACCTGTATTTACCTCATTAATTGTAAAGAAATTTTTGTATGTGTAGTACTTAAAAGTAAGCTTAAAAGATCAATTTAAACTAAAATTTCTTGAGAGAGCTCTGAATTTTCATAAATGATTATAGTGTTTTATGCTTGATTTATTTTTGTTAAATATTAATAAGACAGTTTTTACAAACACATACATGTTTTAAAAATAACTGCCCAACATTTTAGAAAGAATTCAGGGGAACTGAAACTGAAATTTCTTGGAAATTAAGTTAGTTGAACTCTTTGAAGCAGTTTATGGCCTGTGAGATTATTAGCCTTTTGTTTCAGTTTGGAAAGATGGAAAGTGACTTAATCTCTTAATCTCATGCTTTGATTAAATTTTAGTTCTGTTCCTTAAAGTGTGCAAAAGAAATGTAAGTGCATTTCTATTCACTTCATGCCACTAAAAGCTATTTAAAAGTGAAACTTTTTGTATATTAATGTAAACTGATTTGTTTATTTAAATTTTTATTTTAACACATTTTTCTTTCAGATTTTTAAATATTTTGTGTCACAATATGCAATTTTATATTTTTCAGTGTTTATTTTATGAATATTATAATCTATTTTTTTCTAGAATGACTTTGTAATATTTGTATTATGTGATCATTTGAAAACTAATAAATATTTTCTCCTTGAAAAAAAATGCACTTACTGATAAATGGCTTATTTTTGTTTCAGGAGTAGAAATTGAAAACTACAACAGTATTTTTAAGTGTATTTTAACTTTATGTGTCTTTCTCTAAGTATTTCTAAATATATATCCTACCCTGTGTATGTTAACCTTTTTTGAGAAAACCATTTTTAAACTGTTAAAATGAAAATGATTCTTTATCAGGTCACCCAGTGCCAAATTTATGAACTAGGTGATATATTTAGTCTATTTTTACATTTTCATGATTAGCTTCATCTTAATTTTGTTTCAAGAATTGGATTTTTTAGGTGCCATTTTTGTCACTTTTGCAAACCACGAAGACTCTTGAGTCAAAATTATACCTATTAGGAGTAATAATGTTAAATCTTTTAAAAGAAAGTTTAATCAAAATATAATGTCTTACAAAATCGCATGCAAAAGACGCTCCTATGCCCAGAAAAACACATTTGAAAATAATGGCTGATTGGAGACTACCTAATATAAGAGCTGTTAACAAGAGAAGAAAAGTGTTTTATATTTTAGTGTTCTGCTTGAGCAAATTGTAGAAGGTGAAATNTGATTGGAGACTACCTAATATAAGAGCTGTTAACAAGAGAAGAAAAGTGTCTTATATTTTAGTGTTCTGCTTGAGCAAATTGTAGAAGGTGAAATACTTAAGAGTCTCTTGCTTTTAACCTGATATCAAGACACCATGGGGAAGGATAAATTTTGGTCCTAATGATTCTGCTTTTTATAGCTACCTAAACCCAATTGAAGCCACCGGAACTACTTACCTTTTCTGTGCAGAGTCTGCTAGAAGCAAAAGGAGTTTCCTTTTAATTTGAAGAAAACTTCTGTAAGAAGTGGACTCCAAAGATTAAAAATAAACATTATGATGGTGTCCTAGGCAAGAAATAAAAGTTAAACTAATGACAATTTGTGGATTAAATGAAATAATTTGGCTTCTTTAAGAAATTATAATCTAAAAAGAATTAGAAAAGGAAATAATAATTTAGAGTAGCTACTGTATTGTGGGAAGGTGGGAAATAAAATTCTTGGCTTTATTATCTGGTAAGTTTGGAAAATATAAGGATTCTGACAATATTTCAATGGAAGGCTGTATTTTACTTGAATACAAAAGCATTTATATGTGTATGAAAGGGTAGGGTGTGGGAGGTTAAATAAAAATATTGCACTAGAATCTTCAGACATTGTAAAAATAATGGTGAAATGAGTGTTTTAAATAATTGAATTAATTTTTATTACACGGGCTCTTCCTTACACCATCAGTAGCTTTAAAATAAAGATATTACAGAATGTTGAACATGGGTTACCTTTATATCTTTGAGGTATAAGAACATAGGCTTATATAAATTTTGTTCTTTAATGAGGAAACAGTTTTTTAATAGTTTCTCTTAAAAATGTACCTGACATAAGCAGTGTGACTTACAGTTTATTGTAAATATGTGCACAGATCTTATTTTACTTCGCTGTATTGAAACAATTGAGCAAGATGTCAGTGCTTAGATGTCCTAAGCAGTTTCTTGCTTTCTTTTTGTTCAGGTATTTTTTATTTCCCACTAAACAGACTTATATTAATTTAGTTCTAAAATGTAAAAGATTTGTGTTTCCAAAAATAAACACATAGGTGCTCTAAAGTCCCCCCCCCACTAATATGTACATCTAAAATAGTTAACTTACTGCAGTAAAAACGTTAGGGAACTTTGAAGTATGCATCGGAGTTTTCAGGAATTATGATCAAAGGGATCTCTACTCAAGAGGTAAGGTATGGCATAGGTAGAAAAATGTTCAAAATGTGTTCAATGTAATGGCTGATGATAAAGTGAACTGTAACAGATATCCTTGGATTTTCAGAAATGTAGAATTAGGAAAATAATTTTCCCTAAAAATCTCTCCCAGAGAAGAGAAATGGATAAACCACAAATTTGTTTTTGTATGATTTTGTAGTACATTTAGAAACACATATCCACGGATATCCTACCATTTGTGTGCTTGACTACCTATATTCCAAGGCATCTCTTCCTACCCTTGCTCGCTTAGTGTTTATGATCCATATTTAATTTAGTATTTCTTAGGCCCTGAGCACTTTTAAAATATTGTACTTTGTGCATGGAGAGTTGAGTACATATTCCATGAGATTATTGCCTGGCTTCAGCTTTGCTGTGAATGCCTATTTTTATTAAATAATGCCTCGAATTTAGAAAACAGTAGCTGTACTAATATTTACCTTGGTTTGAGAAATTCAAGTTTTATAAACATTCACTTAAACACTGTTACTCAGGGTAATCTGTTATATTATGGATTAAGAAATAATATTGTTGGTTAGTAGATAAAATCATTCAGAGAAGAAAGATATATTATTATTTAAGGAATATTAAGTAGGTTCAACAAGTCAAGTGTTAACATATTTAGGGTGTCTAGAAACAAAGGAAAATGCAGTATTCAGATGAGCTAGAAAAATGATTAGTGTTTTTTTTCTAGAATTACAGATTCATTCAGTACATGGCAACATATTAAACACAGTGATATTTTATCCTATCTTTTAATTCTTTTTATAAGAACATCAGCTCATGGACATTTGGCTTTTACTTAAAATAGTATGCTATCTATTCCACTTTCCCCTTTGTGTAGAGCAAATGATGATGTTGATATGAACTATTGAGAGAACTCCCTACTTTATAAAAGGTAGCTGGTTCCATGTTCAGGATGCTCTAATGTTAAGTTGATCCAGCATTTACTTCTGTGTCATTTTTTTATTTGAAAATTACCTTAGAAATAATCTAGTTTAGCACCCTCATTTTATATATAAGATAATGGGCATCCGGGAATATCACATATATTTCTAATATCACATAATTGGTAGATAAAATTTCTGTAGGATTCAAGTCTCTTGACTGCAAGCTCAGAGACCTCTACTTACCTGTGCTTTACCTCCATGTAGATTCTACTTCTGGAAAACAGAGCAAATCTGATTTTTTTTCAAATATGACAGCCTTCAGGACTTTTAACATGACTGTTACACCTCACCCATTCCAAGCCAAGTTTTTCCCCCCTACAAATTACTTCTATTTTCTTGCTCTTGTTCATGTAGTATGGTCTTGAGATCCTTCAAAGTTTTGTAGATCTCCTCTGAACATCCTTCAGTTTATCATTGTTTTCTTTAATGTATGGCACTGAACCAAGACAGTACAGATGTGCTCACCCTGTGCTTGGCTCTGGCCACTTTGTTAATCTTTACGTATTTACCCATTAGGGTGCTTGCTTTTATGCATGTTGAGATTCTGTTGAGTAAAAGTTATATGCAAAATATTTTGCTTTTCTGAAAATTAGGCTAGTATATTTATGCAAAGGTTAATGTTCACAGTTTAGTAGAAAAGAAAAACATTGATTCAAGACAGTAGCTAGGATCTTGAGAAATCATAGTAAAAAAGGTACAATTTCCATTCGGTTATGTTTTTATTTGCTGAATTCTGACTCAATCATCGATTCCATATTAAATGACCTTTGTAATGTAAAATGTTATTTTTTCAGGTTCTTGCTAATTTAAGGGTAACCAGGCCCATTGGAGCAAAACTGTTGACACGTGATTGACATCAAGAAGAAAATGAACTTGTGTTTAGTAACAAAGTTAGAAATGAAAGGCAGTGCTTCAGTGGAAAAATAGGGAATATATACCAAACAACAGAAGATGACAAAGAAGTAGTCCTAGAAGCCTGAGGATGGGCCTAAGTTCTAATGCAAACATAGTTTTATGTTGCCTTTTGAAATATAGTATAGCTACTCTGCTATAGCAATGTTATTTTGGTATAAGAGCATTTTAAATTATCAGTTACATACTTTTTTCTCCCAAATTTTAAATTGAGCTCCAGGAAGACACAAGTTGCTTATTTAATAGTTGTGTGTACCTCTTAGGGTACAAGTACCCTTGTTTGAGAAACACTGGTTTGACATGTAGGGTATATTCTACCTTACCTGAATTAGAGTTTTAGGGTGAGGGAGAAAGGGAGGAACAAACATTTACATGGCTACTCTGCACCTTTGGCTAGATGCTTTACAAATATTTAATTAATCCAGCTGACCTGTGAGAAAGGTAATTTTTCTGTTTTACACATAGAGATACTGAAGCTCGGGGGTAACAAAACTTGGAGAAGGGTACATAATCAGTAAGAAACAAAGATGGCATTTGAAAGATCTATCAAAATTAAAAGAATTCTCTTGCACCACTGATTGCCAAACATCTTTGCCCAAAAGAATGCATATTGTCAGGAAAATTTCATATAGAACCTCAGTTTTTAAAGTAGATAAGAGATACTTTACTTAATACATATTTCTGAATTGACTTTAAAAAAGTTTTAGTTTTCCAGAAAAATAGACCAGAATTACAGAGTTTTCTCACGAATACCTGGTGTCCCTCCCCGTACATTTCCCTATTTACATCTTTTCTGTGGTGCATTTGTCACAAATAATGAGCCTGATACTGATATATCAGAGTTTGTAGTTTACATTAGGGTTCACTCTGTGTCATACAGTTATATGGCTTTTGCCAAGTACATAAAACTATCACAGTTACAGGGTCGTATAGAAGTCTCACTGTCCTACAAATGGCTTGTGCTCCACCTATTCATCCCTTCCCTCA